TCTCATAGGGGTCAATATAAAGAATATATAAAGAACTCCTACAAATCAACAACAACAAAAATAACCTGATCAAAAAACGTTCAAAGGATTTGAATAGACATTTCTCCAAAGATGATATACAAATGGCCAATAAGCATATGAAAAGATGCTTATATGATCAAGCATACGAAAAGATTAAAATATTACCTCACTAATCATTAGAGAAATGCAAATCAAAACCCATAATGAGATATCACCCCACACCCATTAGAATGGTTACTATTACAGGAAAGAAAACCAGAAACTAGCAACTGTTGGCGAGGATGTGGAGAAATTAGAACCCTCGTGCATTACTGGTGGGAAGGTAAAACGGTGCAGCTGCTATGGAGAACAGTATTGTGGTTCCTCAAAAAGTTAAAAATATAATTACCATATGACCCAGCAATTCCACTTTTGGGTATATATTCAAAGAAGTGAAAGCAGAGACTTAAACAGATATTTCTACACCCATGTTCATAGCAGCATTATTCACAAGAGCCAAAGGTGGAAGCAACCCAAATGTCCCTCAAAAGATGAATGAGGGGCCGGCTCCGTGGCCAAGTGCTTAAGTTCGAGCACTCCGCTGCGGCGGCCCAGGGTTCGAATCCTGGGCGCGGACATGGCACCGCTCGTCAGGCCACGTTGAGGCGGCGTCCCACATCCCACAACTAGAAGGACCTGCAACTAAGATAGACAACTGTGTACACGGGGGGTTTGGGGAGATAAAGCAGAAAAAAAAAAAGATTGGCAACAGTTGTTAGCCCAGGTGCCAATCTTAAAAAAAAAAAAAGATGAATGAATAAACAATGTAGTACATGCATACTATGGAATATTACTCAGTCTTAAAAAGGAAATTCTGACACATGCTACAACACGGATCAACTTTGAGGACATTATGCTAAGTGAAATAGGCCAGTCATGAAAAGTCAAATACTCTATGATTCCACTTATATGAAAAGTACCTAGAATGGTCAACTTCATAGAGACAAAATGGTGGCTCACAGAGGTAGAATGGTAGTTGCCAGGGGCTGGGGAAAGGGGGAAATGAGGAGTTGTTGTTTAATGGGTAAAGTTTCAGTCTTGCAAGATGAAAAAGTTCCAGGGGCCTGCCCCGTGGCCGAGTGGTTAAGTTCGCATGCTCCGTTTCGGCGGCCCAGGGTTTTACCAGTTCGGATCCTGGGCAGGGACATGGCACCGCTCGTCAGGCCACGCTTAGGTGGCTCCTACATGCCACAACTAGAAGGACCCACAACTAAAAATACACAACTATGTATCGGGGGCGCTTTGGGGAGAAAAAGGAAAAATAAAATCTTTAAAAAAAAGTTCTGGAGATTGGCTGCACAACAATGTGAATGTACTTAACACTACCGAACTGTACACTTAAAAATGGTTAAGATGGCAAATTTTATTTGTGTATTTTACCAGTTTTAAAAAATGCAAACAAGGAAAAGAATGAGGTAATGATGCATGCTATAACATGGATGAACCTTGAAAACATGCTAAGTGAAAGCAGCAGTCACAAAAGGCCACATATCATATGATTTTGTTTATATGAAATGTACAGAATAGGGAAATCCATAGTTAGTAGATTAGTGGTTGCCAGGGGCTAGGAGGAGTGAAGAATGGGAGATGACTGCCAATGGATATAAGATTCTTTCTGGGGTGATGAAAACATTCTGGAATTACATAGTGGTGATGGTCGCACAACTTTGTGAATATACTAAAAACCATTGAATTTTATGGTGAGTTATATCTCAATAAAAAAAAAAGTGACTACTAGGAAAAAATACACCAGATCTCCACTATAGAATGTCTTACAATGTATAAAACACTATCCTCAGATCACTGGCATGTAGACATAAGCCAGAACAAAATAACTAGAATTGACCAGAACACATCACAAAGCAGTCATGAGGAAACAGGATTCTGGAAATCCTAGTGAATGCAGAATAAGATTAAATTAATAACTGATATATTTGAGAAGGAATAGATAAATCAGACCGAAGTAGCAGGAAATTGTGGAGATAGGCGGAAAAACAAGTGAGGCCAGACTACAGAGGACCTTGACTATGAAGCTAAGAAGTTTGGACTTTTTTTCACAACTGCTATCTTCAATCACGATTTTCAAAAAGATTAATTTCATGGCAATATAACAGACTGAATTACACTGAAATGGAAAAAAACGGAAAATCCTTTAAGTTTAGAGACAGTGGTTGTCTAAGTGTTAGGTGAGAGGACATAAAGTGTGAAAGTATTAGTAAGTCTAGATGAACAAGATATTAAAAAATACATAGACAAGATTCATCACTTGTTTAAATGTACGGGATAAAAAAGAGAGGAAACAAAATACAACTCAGATTTCCAGGAAATCATTGTTATCTGCTGGAATAAAGTTGGAGTGGAGAAGTAGCTGGTTTGGGGGATGAATAAAAGCTGGACAAACACAGTGACAGTCCTTCAACTTTTACCGGCATATTCCCTGACAAAGATTTCATTTTTACCAACTTTGAAGTAACACTGAAAAAAAATAACCCAACAATAATACACATCATTTACCTAAGACTGCAAAGCCAAAAGAAAAGTGGCAAATGGCAGCTTGGACATTCTCTGGCTAAATGTTGCAAGCAGCAGGTAATAAATAAAAAGTTAAAACAGAAGTTTTTCTTCCCTATAGACTCCTGGATACAAAGTGGGAAATCAACAAGTTCAATCTTTTAATTACATATGACATAGGATGTTAAACAGTATTCCAACTAGGAACTACTGGCTTAAAGGATGTGAATTAAATAAATAAATGTTGGTCCTTGAAGCAAGACGAGAAGCAAAGGTTTAAAACTTGTCATACAAGTCTAAAGAGTCATTTATCAGTATTACTACTGAAACTAGTAAACAGTCAAAACACCACATCTAATCCCGGGCAAAAAATTTATCACAGGAGGAGAAAAGAGTGGTAATTTCATTCAGTTGATCAAACTACAGAAATAACAGGTTAACAAAAATACCCAAAGACTGTGAAAAGTCACCTATCTATTTATAAGATGGTTAGAAGATTCTCAAATGTGTAAAACTCTAACTGTTGCATATTTTATCACCCAGGATTTTAGAAAAGCCATGAAGGCATTGAGAAAACACCGTGATACACACACATTGTCTTAAACCTACAAATGACAAACTCCCCTTCAGTTACAAGGACTCACCTTTATTGTCAAGGAATACATAACCATCAAAGCGATCCCTGAACAAAATAATGTCCTCTTGGTTTTTAAAGTTGATGTATGCTCTGGCATACATATGAGGATACAGACTGCAGAGAGGAAAGCAATTATGTAAATGTGCTAGCAGGTGTCTGAATTACAAGTATGCATATATTAAAGAGACAGGCTCAAAAATCAAATGGAAAACAGTAGTAGGATAAAAAAGAATGTTAGAAACCTTTTTCCATTTACCCCCTCCCTCTTTTATTCATTTATTTTACCTAGTATCATTAGAAAAAAACTCAAAATAATCATGCTCGGGCATAGGCTGAAGATGTTCCTGAAGCTGCTCCTTGGTCAAAGTAGGAGGTAATCTCCGAATTACCACCTTAAGAAATGAATGAGGAAAATAAAATTAGTACATATCAATTTTCTGTCATGCCTGAAAGAATCACCGTCCCTGAAGAAAGCTGGGCTTTAAAAGATCAGATCGCTTATAAAAACCCAGGAGAAAATATTGTTTTTACTGCTCAGAATTAGTCAAACATAATGATAACGTCGTTTTTAAAAACTTAGAAATGAGAACTGCCTGAAGCAAGGAAAATCTCAGGTTGTGTTAGCCCGACGCCGCGCAGTTTACTAGGTTATCCCATCCTTTTCTAGCACCCTTTTTGCAACCGACGTAGTGGTAAGAAATTAGTAGGCCAACCCTGCTTTTTTGTGGGTGCCACGATCTCTTGATTGATTACTATTTCCCTGCTACATCCAACACATTCTCAAACAAAATCCCTCTTCATTCAGCATAAAGAATTCAAAACTCTAAAAAATACCAAAAATTCCCTCATTGTTCCCCAAATAGTATGCACCTGATCTGGCCCCCAGACCATTAATCCCCCCCCCCCCCCCCCCCCCCCCATTAACGTTCCTACCACAAACTACTCTCCCCCTTGGCGCCCCTTCAGTGTCGAATCATTCCCCGAGCCAACCTCTTCACTCCGCATTCCCTCTCCTGGCGCTCCCCGCCCCCCGTGATCGCCCCCCAGCTCCGACCTAAGCCCTCCCCGTCTGGGAATCCCCCCTCCTCACTCCCACCCCAGGGCTTGGCCGGGAGGGTCTCCCCCCATTTCGGGCGAGCGGATGAGAGAGGGTGATGCCATTTGCACTCAGGTGAAGCGACAGAGGGGGAGACTGCGAGAGGGGAGGGCAGCCCACTCCCAACCATCCGCCACAGGCAGCAGACCCGTCCCGCCCTCTCCGGGGCCAACAGCCGGCCAGGCACCTTGCTCAGCGCCTCTTTCTTCTCCTTGTTTCGATCCTGTTTATCTTCCCCTTTGCTGCTGTCCCCCGAAGCCCCACCGCCGCTGCCTGTGGCCCCCGGGGGAGTCAAGAGGGTTACTCGCTTCTCCTTCGGCCTGTGCTCCTTCTCCTCCTTCATGGCCACGACTCCGCTCCTCGCAGTGGCAGCTCGGCCGGAACGCCGCTCAGCCGGGCACCTACGCCTCCCGGCCCACTCCCGTCGGAGCTCCGCCCCCAACAAACACCCCTAGTGATAAGCTGGGGCCCGCGTTCCATTGGGCCCCGCCAGGATCTCGCGAGACTTCAGGGCGTCCGGCTTCCCTTGGTGGAAAGGTTTTAACACCTGGTCTTAACTTCCCGCCTGCGGGGTCCCCGCGCCGCCCAATCTCTTCGCGGCCCAGACTCCCTCGGGGCCCGCTCTGCGCAGGTCATTAGCAACTCCGCCATCTTGACTAGAACAGCTCGGCCGCGGACTACAAATCCCGGCATGCAAAGCAGGTATCCGCCTCTGGCCGGGAGTTCTGGAGCCATAGATTTCTCAGGGTCTCTATTTGTGAGTACAGTAAATGGAATCCCTAATCTTGAAAGTTTGGTGTTTTTCAGATCAAAAGATAGGTTCTGCGAGCTGTACTTCGCTTCATTTCCCTCAGATAAACCCTATGTTATCCGAAGTTTACCTCACTGTGGGAGCGATTTGTATTTTCTATTATTGATTCTGAAGTGTGCTTTCAGAAGCTCTGGAATTTCCTTATCTTGATTAAGATTCAGAGATACTTAATTAACACTCATAAGACACTGATATTTAAAGGAGTAATATGACCAAAATGTATGAGATTTGTTTTCTAAGTAAAAGGATTCTATGATGGTACTGATGCCCCACAAGGAGGATAAAATAAAATAGAATCTAACTTGCTTTAGATGGGCTCACCCTCCTTCCTGCCTTAAAGAACGGCAGTTATACATTATTTATAATAGCCCCAAACTGGAAACAGTCCAAATGTCTGCCAACGGGCGAATGGATAAACAAAATGTGGTATATTCATGGAATGAAATACTACTTAGCAATAACAATGAACTGATAATGTCCATCAGCGTGAATGAATCGCAAAATGATTATGCTGAGTGAAAGAATCCAGACAAAGAGAGTACATGCTGTACAACCTCATTTATATCAAATTCTACAAAAAGTAAAATTATGATAGAAAGCAGTTCAGGGGCCAGCCTGGTGGCACAGCGGTTAAGTTCGGGTGCTCCGCTTAGGGGTTTGCCGTTTGAATCCTGAGCGGGGACCTGTGCACCGCTCAACAAGCCATGCTGTGGCAAGCGTCACACGTATAAAGTAGAGGAAGATGGGCATGGATGTGAGTTCAGGGCCAGTCTTCCTCAGCAAAAAGAGGAGGATTGGCAGCAGATGTTAGCTCAGGGCTAATCTTCCTCAAAAAAAAAAATTAATTCTTGACCCAGACCAGCCCTGAATTTACCTAAATCCCAAGCAGACAATTAGGAAAGGAGTTGGATAATTTGTAAAGTATAAAAAAATTATTTCACACAAGTGTCTGCTGATTCTAATGTTTGCTGTGAAGGAAAGGATAATACTTTGTTTTATATATTAGCCAAGTTAAAGATATTTTCGAGAACTTTGAACTCCAATATAAAAAGGAGGATTACATAGTATAATTTTTGAGGTATCTTCCCATCAGTCAAGGATTATAATAAAAGTCGTTAACCAGCTGTTCCCCGTGTCTCCTGATGACATAAAACAAGAGGTGATGGAAGATATGACACAAGCGACCCAGTTTCATGGGAAACGAAGGTGAATTTCTTAATTAAAACAACTTTTTAGTTTAAAATCGGTGGCTGAGGCTTGGAAGAGTGACATTAGATTCTGAATGAGAATACCACACTTTTGTAAACTTGTAAGGAAATCAAATAAGCTTTAAAATCCTGAAAATGTATAATTTTCTCAGGGGAATAATTTTACAGGGTATAAAAGTCAAACGAAGAATTGAAAGTTAATCATATTCTCTAATGTGGACTTAGAAAGATCCCGTGTACTGAAAATGAGATGAAATTTAGACGAAAGAAGACTTACAGACTTTCACAACAAAAACAATCCTGATAAAAGCTCATTTTTGCCCTGTGCTGGGCATGATAGGTGTGATAACTTATTTGGCCCTCACACCAGCCCTATGAAGTAGGTCCCTATTTTTGCAGTGGGTGAAATTAAGACATATGTTGGTGGCTCAGACTCAAAATTACATGGTTAGCAGATAATACAACTGATTCATGAACCTAAATTACATCTCTAAGGCTGGTAGTTAAAAAACATCAACCCAAAATTACATTTATTTTAAAAATACTGGTAAATTCTCAGATGTAACAGTAACGTTAATAAAATGTTGTTTGTTATATTACAAAAATATGAAGAGATTTTATGTCAAATATTAAAGTACAGTAACACATTAAATAGATATTAAATAGATAAGTAAAGGAAGACAGTTAGAAAGAGTAATAATGGAACTTACAGAAATTCAGGTTTGTGGCATTTGGAGCTATAAAAAAAACCCCAAAGGAAAAAAAAAAGAAGAATATATAAGAAAACAAAAACAGGGGGCCAGTGCTGTGGCGGAGTGGTTAAGATCGCGTGCTCTGCTTTGGCGACCCAGGGTTTTGACAGTTTGGATCCTGGGCGTGGACATGGCACCGCTCATCAGGCCACGCTGAGGCTGCGTCCCACATGCCACAACTAGAAGGACCTGCAACTAAAATACACAACTATGTAATGGGGGGCTTTGGGAAGAAGGAAAAATAAAAAATAAAATAAAAATATAAAAAAATAAAGAAAACACAAGCATTAAGATCAGAAATGTTTTTTCTTTATGTATGGTAAACAACTACTAAGCAGCAACTTCTAAGGCTAAGGGGGAAAATGGTTCGAAATTAATATTTTCCTAATTTCGAGTAGGCCAGTGTCCCCAAGACAAAAAAAGTTCCAATGTTAAAAGATCTCCTAGTTCACGTTTTCTCTTTACGGACTTTATAGAGCCTTTGCCTTTTGGTTGTTTGAAATACTTTAAACCATTGTTCAGATAATCACATGAGTAAAGAATAATGCTGAGTTTAAAAATGAAATCATTGAGCGTCACCAGCTAAGAACAGGGTATTCAAAATAGAAAAGCTTTATCTTGATGATGTTATGATGACTAATTTTAAATTAGTCTTTCTGCTACAATAAAAAAAATCATTTGGATTTTTTTTTCTAAATTTTAAACTCAAAACTTAAAGTTGTTTGCCTAATTAATTCCCCAAATCCTTCTCAGGATGCACACAGAAGCAAAGGTAACAATTACCTATTGAATTTTTTTGAAGATGAGCATTGAGTTTTCTTACAGCCACCACCTCCCACAAACACACACGTGTGGGCACACAAGTAGAGTCAGAAAGTGTATGAGAGGAGGAGTGTGGCATACAATTATTTGTGCCTTCTGTCCACTCTCAATTAAAAGAGAAAAATGGAAGGGCTGGCCTGGTTCTCTAGTGGTTAAGTTTGCAGGCCGCGCTTCGGTGGCCCAGGGTTCGCAGATTTGGATCCTGGGCGCGGACCTGCACAGCTCATCAAGCCATACTGTGGTGGCCTCCCACATACAAAATAGAGGAAGATTAGCACAGATGTTAGCTCAGGGACAGTCTTCCTCACAAAAAAAGAGAAAAATGGACAAAGAATATTGAACAGAGAGAAAACATTTTTTTGGAACTAAAATATTCTGTTCATTTATGTACTTTGCTATAGATTACATTTCTCTGTACTAATAAAAAAAAAAAAGCTGGAGAATATTTAAGACCCTATTACCTAAATAGGAAACCTTGTTACCTGACTAATCATCTTGAAGGCAAGTTTCTTTTTTTTTTAAAGATTTTATTTGTCCTTTTTCTTCCCAAAGCCCCCCAGTACACAGTTGTGTATTTTTAGTTGTGGGTCCTTGTAGTTGTGGCATGTGGGATGCTGCCTCAGCATGGCCTGATGAGCAGCACCATGTCGGCGCCCAGGATCCAAACCGGGAAAACCCTGGGCCGCTGCAGCGGAGCACGTGAACTTAACCACTCGGCCATGGGGCTGGCCCCCAAAGGCAAGTTTCTGAGTAAGAGTAAATTTAACTATGCTGTGTTCTTTTTCTTCCTTTTTCTTTTTTTCATGAGGAAGATTGACTCTGAGTTAACACCTGTTGCCAGTCTTCCTCTTTTTACTTGAGGAAGATTCACTCTGAGCTAACATCTGTGTCAGTCTTCCTCTAGTTTTTGTATGTGGGACGCTGCCACAGCCTGGCTTGATGGGCAGTGTGTAGGTCTGTGTCCAAGATCCAAACCCATGAACCCTGGGCCGTGAAAGCAGAGCACGAGAACTTAACCATTACACCACTGGGTTGGCCCCAACTATGCTGTGTTCTTTATCATAAGCTACAGGAGGCCTCTCTATTGTGCCTCCCTGACATTCAGTATAAGGAGATGAGGACTCTTGTTGTGATATTTTACTAAAGAACCTGTCTTTACCCATCCTGTGTTAAGGCATGTATTCGCTCCAATAGCTTGTAAAACATGTTTTGGAGAATTTCATGGTGTCATAAACATGTCTATTGTAGAAAATAGTTTCAGCTCACAAATTTTATCCATTATTAATTACTCAAGTCATGGCAGACTGGCAAACCACAAGTACATAACAGTAGTGCTTCTGACAGGATTTATTCACAATGCAAGTCTTGATCTTGCATATACTTCCCCTTATTTCATTTAGTTATATTTTTCCTTTAAATCATAATTTACTGTTAACATTCTTATGACAATGTAAATGTTCATAGATGAGGCATATAATGCACTGTTATTATGCTTCCTTTCATATATGACATTTTGTTTTTCCTGGCGTTAATGATTATTTTGATTATTTTGTTTGATTGATTTGTTTCCTTGTACCTATTACTGATTTTTCCACCAAACCCCTCCAGAGATGTAAAACCCAACTGGAGAAGGTGAAACAAATCAGGTAGTGTATTAGTTTTTGTTTTTGTTTTTGTTTTCTGTTTGGAGAAATGTTGCCTCCTGCCATCTACCCTTCTGGTCCTGTAAGGATTGATTGATCCTTAGGCCTGCTACCCAGCCTTATCCTGGGACTTCACTTTGCCTTTCTTGGATTCTCCTATTTACTGGATGTCATTCTACTGGCTTTGCTCATTTGGGTTGTTTCCAATTTTTGGCTCTTCTATAATGTTGCTATGTACGTTCTTGTACCTGTTTCTTCATGCAAGTATTTCTGTTGGGTATATACCTAAAAGTGGAATTGCTGGGTCATAGGTTGTGCATATGTTGAACTTGTAAACTTGGATGGAAAAAAATTACATCTTTATTTTCATTAATTGTTAAATGAACTTTAGCATTCCTTCAATTATGAATGTAGGCAACAAACCATACCACTGTTAGCGCTACTTGGGAGTTTGACTGATAAAAGTCATAGATCTTTTCCTAGCACTTTACAGTTATTGCACATAACGTGAAATATGTACTGTTTACACTGATGCCTTCAAGTCCTGAATTTTCTGAGTTTCTACAGCACAAATTGACTTATATATATATATTTTTGAATTAAAAAAATTTTTATAGCTTTTTTTTTGGCTTATATCCTTTTGATTTCTCCCATGCATGTACTTAGTTTCATAATTCTTCCATTCAGCTAAGCAAGTTTTATGTCCTTGTGGGTCCATCTATTTTTTAATTATCTATTATCATTTTAGTAGGATCTCTGAATGTTGTGGAAATGAAAACATTTTTATTCTGCCATGTTTCCAAAGTGTTCTATATGGCTTTAAGTTTAAATTGAATCTGTAGTTATGTCTTTTTAAAATATTATTTATGTATACCCTTGATCTTTTTGATAGAGGTATGTCTATTATATTATTCTTTTCAAAGAACCACCTTTTCTGAGCCAGCCCTGATGGCCTAGTGGTTAAAGTTCAGTGCTCACCACGTTGGCAGGCTGGGTTTGCTTCCCAGTCGTGGAACCACACCACCTGTCTATCAGTTGCCATGCTGTGGTGGCAGCTCACATAGAAGAACTAGAACGATTTACACCCAGGATATACAACCACACACTGGGGCTTTGGGGAGGAAAAAAAATTAAAAAGAAACAAAAACAGAACCACCTTTTGGTTTTGTTGATCATTTCCATTTTTTGTATATTTGTTTCGTTTTATTACATTTTGCTCTTCTCTTTATTATTTTTTTCTGTCTGTCTTCTCAGGTTTAATCTACTCTTTCTCTAGCTTCACAAATTGAATTATTTATGCATTACTTTGGAATATTTTTTAAAGTGCATTTAACACTATAAATTTTCTTCATGATTCCATTTTAGATGCATCTCACATGTTTTTACACGTATTTTGTCATTCAGTTTTAACTTGTTCATGCTTTCCATTAAGATTTTCTCAGTAACTCATTGGCTATTTAGGGTTGTGTTTTAAGTTTTTAGATGTATGGTTTTTGTTTGTTTTTATTGTCCTTTATATGTTGATTTAAAATTTCAACATGCCTGTCTAATTTTTAATAAGTTTAGGGTTAATAAGTAACTTCATCATTCTTTCAAACAGTATATGGAGTTTTCAGTGCTTTAACTCCAAACCTTTGTATCGCACCATCTTTTTTGTTGTTGTTGAGGAAGATTTGCTCTGAGCTAATCTGTTGCCAATCTTCCTCTATTTTGCATGTGGGCCGCCACCACAGCATGGCTTGATGATCAGTGCAGGTCTGCACCCGTGATCCCAACCCATGA